GGGACAACATTTCCAGCCTGGAGTCCAGGGACCCCTCTGCATGATGAGCTTTCTCATGCCCCTGCTACTCCTGAACCATTCAGATAAAGCTTTCAATAAAGACCCCTATGTATAGAAGAAGGCTGAATGACTGATTTAGTTCATTTAACACTATTATTTTAAAAAACGTTATTCTTCAGTGACCCTTTTCCTTGGGCCTCTTCCCAGACTTCTAACAACCCCTAGTGCCAGATACTCTAATGGGCAAGGCTGCCAGTCTCAACCCCTTATTAACCAGCCAGCTCTTGCTTGCAAGGCTGTGCTTCTTTCGTGTACCTGCTCATCCAGGAGCTAGCAGTTGCCTTTTATCCAAATTCCCCCCTCTTTCAAAGGCTCTACTGTGATCTGAGGGGAAGCTAAGCACAGATGAGAGACCTGAGGCCTCCATCCGTGCTTCTTGGCTTGCCCTCTGACATGGATCACTCCGTGCCAGGCTGAAGTGCTGAAGTGTTTTTTTCTCTCTTCCTTTGAATCCTCATTGCACAAACTGGCAGTAAAGATTTAGCTGTCACACCAGATGATGTGATTACCCAAATGCTTGGCTGTGGTTTCATTTCTCAATTAAATGAAAATGTAAGACTATAGACTGTAAGACTGAAATGGTACATCAGTAAAGCAGGGTCTGTAGATCATTCTTTAAAATTCAAGTGAAAACTCATATGTATATTTATCATGGTGGGTAGTTTTGAAAGTGAGCAGCTGCAGTAGTCCCTGGGACTGGGAAGCTAGTTTTGAATTGGAAGACATTTACCATAGACTTTGAATGTCACCAAATATTGAGACCAAATTTAAATTGTCAGGAAGGAGCAATTAGGCAGAATAACTTACACAATAGGATTTTAAAGGGGCTGAAGATATTTCTTGCTGGCTTTAGAGGCTGTATTAAAGTGCATGGTGTTATACTGACATCAAGGCTCCCTGCAGAGCTCGATGCTCTCGTGTTGTGCCACGGAGGCTCCTGTGTGGTTTCAGACTTTGTGAAAGTGGCTCTCAACTGCCTGTTTGCAACTAACAGCTTAAAGTCAGGGCGCTACACAGGCTGGTGGCCACGAGGCTCCTCTGGAGTCCATCAGGCCAGGGCTTGGCAGCCAGGGCTCATCCCACCGCCCCAGACAGGACCAGGGTATCCCCAGCCCTGGGCATCGGGCACCTCCCTGGGGATGGTCCGAGGCTGGGCCAGGACATGGAACTGTGTGTGGGCCTGACTCATCAGGGGCTGTGGCTGGGAAGGGCAGGGCTGTGGGGATTTGGAGATTGACCATACCGCAACATCTCTGAGGCAGGGGCTGATGGCTCCAGGGGTCTGAAATGGAGTCTTGGGCCGTGAGCAGGGCTGGGGCAGCCCCAAGGGTGGGCAGGAACCATCAGAATGCCTCAGGGCCATTACACTGAAACGTTGTTGACCTGTAACCCTGCATTCTGCCTTTTTGTTCTGGGAACATTTCTATACAGCAATACCGATAAAGAGGCTGTTTGGGTATTCATGTAAATCATACATCTGATTTACTACAGCTGAACTATCAATACAAGTATCCACCCAGGACATGTGCTCCATCTCCTCCATCCTCAGCCAGGTTGTCAGAGGGTGTAAAGTTGCTGCTGGAGTAACTCCTCTTGTTAGCAAATGGTTTTTGACTAGCTCTACCTTTATTCAGATAGTTCGCATGAAGATTAGGTGTAATTGTTGAAGGACTGAAGTTGTAATGGTAGTGTAAATGTGCTGCTGAAGCACTGGAATATGGAGTAACAAACCCATCTCACAGTCTTAATGTAAAAATAAGATAATGTGAAAAACAGATCCTATGCCTACTTGGGGAATAGATTCTGTTTAAATAAATGTATCATTTGTAGAGTTTAGTCCAAATCCGACTCAAAGAGATTTTTTAAAAAATGTATTGGCTTGAAATATAGATGTTTAGTACTGAAACAAAAGTACTGAATGTTCCAAGTCTAAATCAAATCCAAAATATCAGTCAAACTGATAAGGTTATAAACATAATTGCAATTCAGTACTACTACAATCAGCATTAGTTCTCATGATAAATAGATGCTTTAAGATCCTGTTATTGTTTACCTTGCCTATTATTTTAGCTGACACTATGTGAAGTATCTTGCTTGAGATTTTTAAAAGAGAAGGCTAATATTTACCTCAACTCTTATTATAAAAAATTATTATAAATAAATATTTCTTGTCTTTGATGATGCTCTGGACTTCATGTCAAACTTCTTTTTCAGTTATTTAAATATTGTTTGAAAAACTGAAATTTTGTTCAGCTAATAGGAGCCCAAGACACTTATTTTTCTGAAATCTTGCCTGGAAATTCATGGAAGCAAGTTTTTTCTTACATAAATAAACTCTAAGCTATATTTTCTCACAAATAAACCATATTTGTCTTGCTAGTCTGTGAACAAAATCAAACTGCTCTGCAAGTCTGTCCCTCACTGGCATACCGACTGCTTCAGTGAAATTAATTCCCATGGGTGCTTTTATCAGATTTGTTCACTTTGTTCCTGAACATGAAGTTCAGTTCAAAACAACAGAAACAGAGGAGGAGCTTTCTTTTTCAGTTTTGCAGTAAGTGACTAGGAAATGTTTTGTTGCCACATGCATGTGAAATTCTGTGGGCCCTTCCAAATGAAACATCAATTGTAGTGTTGCCTGTGATTTAAAAGGGGAGTGTATTTTCCTTCCAGGCTTATTAGCTTCTGGTAGGATCCAAGATGAACTTATTTATCCCAAAGCTAAGGTACAGTTCCGCCTCCCAAACATTTGTAATTTAAAGCTGGGTGATGAAGAGAAGTCTCAAAATCTGAGAAAAGTGTTCACTGTTATACATTAATATATCAGAGTGTATTTTCAAGAGTGACTTTAGTACAATACAGTGAAGGCTTCACAGATCATGGCTTAAAGAATCTGTTCAAAAAGCAACACAGGAAAATATATGGAGACATTAGTATGTGAAACAGAAAAACTTATTTGCTTGGAGACTGCACAACAGCTAAAATGCAAGCCAGATTTACAGCCAGTTAGGAGATAACTTATGGAGATTTACCCATCTGTTGACATACAACAAATTCTGGCAGACTTAAAAATTAAAATCTTCTTAGATACTTTTTTATTCAAGAATATTTTGTGTTCCTCCCGACTCTGCCTCCCCAGAAAGGAAATATTTTTTAAAAAATGCTCCATTTAATCTTAACCAGTGCAAAGTGAAAAAAAAAAAAAAAGAGTTTTGTATGTGGATTTTGAATTTTGTTTTGATTCTTTTATGTAATCCTTAGGCTCAGCTTGAGATCAACTATTATGATGTAGATTTCAGCTGCATTGCAAATGCATTGGATCTGAATTTCTTACAGATTTACACAGTGAACTTGGCAAGTTTTGTTGTCCTGAGCACATTAAAAATGGAGAACAACAGACAGTTCTCATAATTTACAACCTTGCTATCTCTGTGTTTTGTTTTAGATCCCCGTATGTATCAGCTTTTTTCCAATCTTGCTGGCTGTCTGGGAAGTCTAGTAGTAACAGCCATCAAGTTTCTACCACCAGTTTAAAGATATAACTTAAAAACATAAGTTTAGGTGTTGCTCAGGCATCATGATATGAACGAATGCTTTGGGAAGTTGTTCTGAGTGTATCCACAGATGAGACCAGGTAAGCTACAAAGAATAGATAGTTAATTCCAGATAACATCAGGTGGGAAACAGTTCCAGACAGTGTTTGGATCTCATGGCAATCTGAGATCCAACGTCAGTAACTGCAGAAATACTTTCAAGTCAAACAAAACAATGTGGGATAGAACCTGCCAAAAATTTGCTGCCTGTGTTGACTTCTTGCTTTAACAAGCTAGACAGAAAAAAAATCTCGCTGGGCCATAACCTACATAACCATGGCTGCTCCGTGTTTTGCAGGTAAATGGTGGCTGGAGACTTGGGGATGGTGCTGGGAAAGACAGTGGGACAACCTGGGAAGGAGTGGACAGATTCTGGGTTACTGAAGGAGAGTTTGCTCTGCCCTTGAAGTAGGTTCAATAGGAAGGGGATCAAAGGTGTGTTTGTACCATGGATTTTGTATCTTAAGTTCTTATCTTCTAAGTGCCCTTAGGGTTTTAGGCCAAGGCTGAGGCTGAGGCATGGGTAATAAAAAGGAGGGAGTGAGCACAGATGCTTGGTGAGCAGTTTATGCCCCCACACAGGCTGCCTGAGGGCTCTTGGTGTAGGTCTGAGACCATGGCAGTAAAGTTTCAACACTCCCAGCCATTTCTTGAGGCTTCAGCATAGACAGGACAATGGGGAAAGCCGTAAAACAGGCTGGATGTCTGGGATGAGGATGGAAATGGTGCCTTGTCCAACACCCTTGCCTTTGGCCACTCTCCCCTTGGCATGGCCCAGAAATCAGACTTCATGGCAGGGTAGGATCCCAGGTCCTCATTACAAAGCAAAGTGCTGACAGTGCAGGAATGAGAGCTGGGCTCTGGCTCCTAGGGTCTTTGAGTGACCATTCCCCCTCCTCTTTTCCCTGGGTCCAGGGATGCTGTGAAGAAGGCTGGTGCCAGCCAGTTCCTAAAACTCTTGTGTATGTGAGGGCAGTCAGATGAGGGTTGAAGGCAGCCAAGTCCAAGTTATCCTGTTTCCACCAGGCCAAGCCACACTTGTCTCAGGACTACTCTGATCTGTCACATCCTGGAATCGTAGAAGAAAGCAGTAGCTGGTGGCCCCATCTGGGGTCTGCTGTAGGTACGACCATGACCAGCCCCAGCCTGAGCTCTCACATTTATCCCTTTCCTAGGTCTAACTGTCAGAACCTCCAGAAGACAAAGAGTTCTTTGCAAAGGACTTTATACAGAATTTCAATGATAAGTTTTGCTGCTGAATTTTGGATTTTGACACGAGTCTGTCTTGAATGTTCCTCTTTGAAGTGCTAAATGTATAGTGTTCTCTTTAATGATTACTTCGCCATGTTTAGAAGTTATGGTGATAAGTTTTTATTGTACATATTTCATTAAAATTTACATCTGGAGATCTTAGTCTGAACATGGAGATATTGCTTCTGTAGAGTTAGAGTGGACTTCCTTAACTATGTCTGTTTTAGGGAAGAAGGTGGAAAAAAGGGTTTTTAGGGAAGGTGCATTTAGTAGATATTTCATGTGTTGCAGAGTTAACATAAGGGCTGCTTAAATCACAGTATTTTTTATCATTCTGAAGCTCATCATCCATGTGCACAAGGTATAATAGTACTGTTGGTCTTTTGTTCCGCTTTGTCTTTAATACTGTATAATTTTTTTTTTTTCCCCAGGTCTATCAACAATTTCTTGCTGTGTAGCTTTACTTTTGTTCTGCTTTTGATGGAAAGGAAAAAATTCTCATTAAAATAAAATGTGTGATTATATCTGAACTCCCTTCTGAACTTGCATTTTATAAATAAACCTTTCTTTGTAATCAATATATAGGTTTGGAAAAATTCTACTTTAGTATCTCTTTTCTCATTTAAGATATTTTCTTTGCTTAGTTATATAAAGGCTTTCATCTTTATCTGCAAGCCTAAATCCACTTCAATATGTATTGTTTGGTCCACATACCATGTATCTTGATATTGTTGTTTTTCTTAGTGTGCCATCAGAGTAAATTTTTCTATTTATCTATGAATTCTAATTGATGCTATATTTTCCTATCCTTGTTCTAGCTGTGACTTGGTTTTCTCAGTTTCATGGCTGTCTCTTACTAAATTGTCTCTTTCTGGCACAGCTGAATAACTCTGCTGAATTATTGTGAGGTTAATTCCTCACCATATGCTTTGGACTACTTCAGGATGTTTTGCTGTTGAAGATTATTCTTCCTTAAAGTTTTGTGAGTTTTCTATTATTTTAGCAGGGACAATTCAAAATTTACTTACTAGGATTTCGTAAATTACAAACTGCTTTGTAACATCCTTCCAGCCTGGCTAGCTGATTCCTTATCCAGGTGGTTGACTTCCTTGAAAGTGTTTGAATTTTGTCTCTGGTATTTTTTGTTTTTTGAATTCTTTTTTTGTGGCATATTTAGAAGTCATGGCTGAATCAAAGTTCTTTTACTGTCTGTGAAGGTTATTATTTTATTAAAGAAAACTGGCTCAGGGGCTTCCAATGGGGAACTGGCAAGCTCAGCAATTCCCTTTGTTTGTCCAGACCTGGCTTTGGGGTTTTAAAACTCAAAACCTGTCTTTGTTGCCACAGTTTTATGTTGGAAAAAACTCTTCAGTCACCAGAGGATAGCTTTTAAACCAAAATATTTTCTTCTTTTGGACGCACTCCAAAAATTATTTTTGAAACTTAGAGAATGCTAATTGCATGATTTTAAGGAGACCAGATGTTAAAGAACAGTCATGAATTCACTTTTCCAGCAAAAACCCAATTACATGTTGGTATTTTCTACTTTATCATAGACTTTTACATAAATATGCAGTTTAGAAACAAGTGTTCATTTCATTGCAATTTAAACAGAATTTTAAAGTTTTAAAATTTAAATTGAAATTACTGATACAAAATTAGTTAGCATAAACTCATCGCTGGGATAATGCAATACTTGATGCAGAAGATTTATATTTTAATTTTTCTGATATGACAAATCATAATTAAGACAGTTATTTTTTTACTTGCATGAAAATCATTGGCAGAATTAACTTAATCAGGAATATTTCTGGAGGACTGGTTGGCAGAGGTTTATGTGCATACTTAATTTTGATGCATTCTTTGGTAGCCCTCTGAAAATCACTGGCAGTGTCCAACAAACATAGTATTACTTTGGGCATAATTGTTGGTAAAAACTCTGCAAACTGATGTTGCATTGCACCCCGTAGGTGTGCTTCTATAACCTTCATTTTTCATGAAGTGTTTACCAGTTCCAGTTTGACCTGAAACAGCAGAACATCTTCTTAAATGTACTCTGTAATTCTGGGCTTCGGAATGCAAAAATCATAGGGTCAATGATTGCATTGCACATGATGAGAGTTCCATTCACATGGAAAATGGACATGTAGCAGGCACAGTAAGGATTATGTGGGCAAAACCTTGCTAAGAGGATGTGAAGAACAAAGGGAGCCCAACAGCAAAGGAAAACTCCAAGGAAAATAGTCAGTGTAATGGCTCCTTTCATGTTAGTTCTCTGATGGACTGTGCTGGTTGGCAGTGAGGCAATCTTTTTAGCATGAGATCGAGCCAGGAGGAACATATGGACATAGAGGCACAGTATAAAAAACATCATTAGAGGGAACAGGATGGTGAAGGGAATGACTGTAGCTGCTTCATAGGAGAAGAGGGCAATGGCAATGCTACTGCCAGCACAGAATGTCCAAATAATTGCCAAGATAACCAAGGCCCTTCTTAGTGTCATGATATTATGGTACCGCAAAGCGTAGAAGATAGTGATGTACCTGTCTGCTGCAATAGCTAACAAGCTGAAAATTGACCCCAGTAAAGACAGAATGAACATGGAATCCATGGCATCATCTAACTTTTTCTCAAAGTCACCACGACGTGTCAGGTACCCCATTTTGCACAAGATGATAAAGATGTTCTCCAGAGTTTTGTACAAGCTACCTAACATGTCTGAAATGGCTAAACTGCAAATGAAGCAGTACATGGGCAAGTGCAAATTCTTATTTCTTACAACAGCAATGAGGACAAGCAGATTTTCCAGTATTCCAGCAGCAGCAACAGTGAAAAAAACTTCCTCTGGCACCACAACCTGAGTGCAGTCAGTGATATTTAAGGAGAAATCACTTATATTTTCAATGGAAGAAATTCTTGTCTGCCCTGGGTGTTTGATTACGTAAGAAGGTCTCTCAGTGCTCATTTCTTCAGGTCGTGGAAAGATTATGGATTGTTGTTTTGCAGGCTTGGCTTTATTCTGAAGCTGAGCTGTCAGTCAGATCATTCTTCTTTTGATGAAGGCTTTCTTCTTCACCTGGAGAAATTTTAAGACTTAACTGAAATGTTTGGAATTTTTCCTACAATAAAACATGTGGAAACATAAATATTAGGAAGAAATTTACCACACAGATATGGCAAAAGCAGGCATTTGAAATATCACCTATTGCAATGGAATGAACATATATCATCATCAGAGAGAGGCAAAGATGATTTGGGTAAAATAAGAGCTGCTCCAGGCTTCTTTGAGCCTTAGAGTTAAACAAAGCGTAAATTCTCTTTTAGCATCAAAGCAGTTAAAAAAAATATATGTAGTTTTTTATCATACCGATGAGCATCCCACATTTACTGAAACTGATCTGACAGACTTCAAGTGTTTGGCAATCTTTACTGGCCCAGCTGTTTGCTTTGAGAAAGTCTGGTGTTTCTCACAAGATTTGCAGTATTATTAGACACAAATAAGACCAAAGCCAAGATAAACTGTTTTCTAGGACAGTAACACATTTACCACCACACTGTTGATGGTGAAATGAAATACCCTCAATTTAGATGTGAACATTTGTAAATATTGATGTTTTTAGGGGCATGTTAGAGACTACTGAGAGGCTTCCTCTTCATTTAAATTGAAATTGTCTTTTGATTTGAAGAACATATTTCTAATTCAGATTAAGATCCAAAGTACAATCTTTTCCTGGTTGTATTTTACAACTATCTAAAAGACCAAATGTTTATTTCATCATCAAGGTGATATTTTCCTTTCTCTGTAATCATCCTGATCTGAACTACATCAAAGCATACAGGAATTAGGCTTTTTCGGCTTTTCGTTAATGTATAAATGGACATGATATTAATTTAGCTTGGATATTACTCATAAACAATAAGACCCACTTTTTCTTGTTGTTTTTATAGCCCCACTTGTGAAATACAGATGCAGTTGTTATTCGGAAAGTCCCCCTTTTTAAAGAACTGATATATTCTCCCACTGTTTTTAATTTTAAAACAGCTTTGTTTGACACTTTCATACCAATAAATCTTGAAACTCCTTTGGAGATTTGTTCATACTCAGGGTTGCTGAGTGCCATAATACACTCTGTTACTCTTTCAAAGGGAGAAATCAAAAGTTTTAATTATTTTGTATACAAACAATGCTCTCTGCAAGTGTTAGTGGGTATCTGTAATCAGGACAGCTGAACTCCTTGAATGTGATTAGCCTTAATGCAGATGAGTATGTTTGGCCACTTTTCAATGGAAAACAGGTTTCTGTCCTGGGTTTGTTGTTATCTGCAGAGATTGCCAGTAAAGTGCTATTTATAGTGAAGAATGCTGAGACTTGGACCACCAGCCATCCTGAATTCGATTGAAACAATCTAATTTAAGAGAAATCATTCAAGAGAGTACCCATACTTCATCTGAAAACAAAGGTTGTGTAGTGGAATAAATGAACTGTATTGCACTGCAGCACATGTGGACATGCCCAAAGACAACTAGGTCAACAACTGTCAGTATGTGAAGGAAGGACTTACTGACAAGAATAAGAGACTCAGCAACGTCTTTGTAATGATATATTTTTCCTATTGTTACCTAGAGATACTGTCACAGTTAAGTTTTATGATTTCCAATCTGGCAACCTTTTTTAGAACTTAATTTTCACTCTTAATAGAAAGTAAACATGGATGTTTCAGACAAAGCCTCATTTCAGTGTGAATTAAACAGGACAATGTCGGCAAAAATGCATTTGTTAAGTCACTATTCTTAGAATTGTTTTTCAATAATGCTTTGCAGATATGGTCATATTGCTGAACTAATCTACCTGAAAAACATGAAGGTTCCTTTGCTGAAAATGTATAACATTATGAATGGCATGATATATTACGTCTGCTGCTTATGATTTTACAGTAACTTCATATTAAGTGCAGCGTTGTATTAGAGCAGGGAACTTATAAGGGATTTAGTGTAGTTAGTAAACTGAATAATTACATTATACCACTTAATATTGTTCTCAAATGATTAATAGAGAGCCAGAAAAAAATATTTTTATTTCAGAGATTCTGATTTCAGCATGTATACATGGCTATTGCTCACAATTTTATTAGGGTTCCATCAAGGGTCTTGTCATATTTCTGTCTCAGACCTCCCAGGAAGAAATATCTGTGTATACAGTGTTGTACACAGGCAGTAAATACAGTGCTTGATCTACGCAATGTATATTATGTCATACATCTACAGTAAGTCACACATTTACAGGGTTATTTCACTGCTACACATCTACCAGGTAGTGTGCATGAAGTAGTTTAACACTTCTAAGCAGTGTAGGACAGACAGACTCCACATGAGATGTAAGGCTGTTGTGAACATAATGAGTAACCTCAGTATGTCCTAAAAGCTAGTGGAAAAAAGAAGACACCTTGGAGCTTGGATGCATATTTCCACTGGCTACAGAAATCAGAGCCAAGGTCATTTCACACAAAGCTATAAATAGTCATCAGCTGAAAAAAAGGTTTACCCTCCTGTGTTCTTTACAATACCAGAAACAGCTTGGATGCAACAGATTTCCTCTCCACTGTCAACACCTTGCCTGTTTACTTCATCATTGTATTGGCCAGATAAAGGGTTCATGCCACTCACTAACACCACCCTCTGAAAGACCTCAGATCTGTCTTTTGTAGGTATCTGCAAAGTCAGTCTTTCACAGCTAATGTTTGCACATCATAATTGTTAAAAATAGAACACAACAATTTAAGAATAAAAAAGTGCCTTATACTACAATATTTTTTTCCTGGCAATGGCTGAACTATTTGGATTTTACCTTTCTTGAGGTCATTCACAGTATAAGAATGTTTTCCTGGCTGTATAAAGAAATCTAATACAGTCAAAAAGCAATAAATAACAAAAAAGACCTGTTAAGTTTGAAACACATTTGCAGATGTAGCTGTATCACAAAAACTGCAAAAAACTCAACCAATTCATTTTCATGTTTAAATTAGGTCCTGGAGGGAGAAATCAAAAGCTCATAACATTGGATATTCAGAAATACTATTTATCTAGAGAGAGGCAGACTCCTGAGCTGGTATAATGGGCAATGATCTGATGACAATAGTGAAATTACTAAAAATGCATACATTTTTAATATTATCAGCAATTTCAATGTAATTTGTAGTTTTCTAAAGCAAGAGGAAGCAGGAAACTGGGAGGCTGGAAGCCAGGACAGGAAACTATACTGACAATATTGTACAAACTTAGGAAACAAATAGAATTTAGATTACCTGTTAATTGTGTTCATTCACCATCGTTATGCTTTGGATCCTTACAACACTCTGCAACTTGCAAAGCACGTTCGCACTGATATATATTACACAGGTAAAAGCCAGCCCCAGTACTTCAGCTTGTGACAAGGCTGAGAATGCCTCCGTGGGTGCTGGCAGCTCCCAGTACCATGCAGGATTAGCCTTGGACAAAAAGCATAATTCTCTCCTGTGTGCCCAGTGCCTATTGATTACAAAAATTCAATTTTCTCTACAGTAGAAATGCAATGACCTAGCACCTGAAAGGTTTGGGAGTAATAGGTCTGTACTTGATTTATTTTTTTTTTTTTTAATTGGTTGAAAACTTATTCATTAAATAAATAAACAGCACACTTCCCTCGATCCCAAAATGTTAAATGAACTGGCATGGTCAGCTGTCATTGCAACAGAAGTAATTTCAGCTCTGAACTATAATGATAAGATATAGTAAAGAAATTATGTACCTTAAATACTGTAAATACTGTATAATTTCCCATTTTTTTTTGTATCTATTATTTTTTTCCAGAAAACCATACCTCCCTTTATTAGAGAGACTCCAAGCTGTATTTACTCTCTAAACAGCTGCCAGTAAATAAAAACTGAAAGGGTATTGAGTAGTCTCTTATGCATTTTGGACTGTGCAAAATGGCTGAGATAACTAGCCAATTTTGTAGATGCAATGATTTGTTTCTAGAAACATGAGATGTATTAATTCCCTGTCCTTCTATGTATATATATTTTAAAAAGTAATTTTTTAAAAATGAAAAAAAACAAGTGTTTTGTGCTTCAGACAGAGTATATACAGTATACTTCACAATCCATTCAGTATATACAGAAGTACTTACTTGTCACTTGAAATACTGTGAACTTTTCTCAATCCAAAAAACTCTCCAATATATTAGCAAATGCCTTCTGATGTCATTATCTCTAGCATTTCATCCCCAAAGCTATCCAGTGTATAAACTCCCATTGGTTTAAATAAATGTACCTTGGGCAGCAGGGTACCTGGTAATCAGTTCACTTTGGTTCTCCTTCTAATACTTGATCATAGTGGAATATTAATCCCTTGTGGAGCTGGTTGGACAAGTTGTGTGTGATGGGTTATGCTGCCTGGTGCTGTTTAGGATGACCTTATTTTTCTGAAAATGACAGCAAAAGTCCCATGGATGGGAGCTATTTACTTTTTCAGTCCCTTCCATTCAAGCTGTTACAACTTTGTATCGAAATATATTTGACAAAAACTATGGACAATTACTTTTTCTCTTGTTTCCAGCTTTTCCAAATGTACCAGGCATTTAGGAAGGAAACAAGCCTCTTAAAAACATTGATGTGGAGGCTGAGATTTTAAAGCTGTAAAACAAGAGAAAGGACAACCTTTTTATTTTTTTTCCTTTTCCCTTTTTTTTTATTTTTTTTTCCTTCAGTAGGTGATCAATGGCTTTCATGGAAACAAAGGGAACTGGACCTGTTGAAGGAAGGGCAGGATGTTCCCTATACTTTCTAACAGGCATTTCTTTTTGTCTACCAGCTGGGCTTAGCCCTGAACAAGCAAGTAAGTGAAAAAGAACACACAGAGCCTGATTCTGAATTGCCCTGCATTTTGTATAGCTCTTTACAGATATTAAAAGTAACTGAGTCAGAGGAATTACTCTACAGTATTTACTGGCCATAGCTCAAGTGAAGATCATTGTCTGACTCTATGTACTTAAAATACCTCATTGACTTCTAGGTTGACGGTGATTAAGGTACCTTAGCATGGCCTGTATAAAAAAACCCAGACAGAAATCTGTCTGGCTGATGAACAGTAACAGATCACATGTGAAAGATATCCTGAGCTGCAATTGTTAAACTCTTGAAGGAAATAGTTTCCTCGGATGATCTGGGTTTTAAATCCCTCACTATTGATTAAACAGACCCAAATAATACAGGAAGCATCTGAGAAGTTGCTACTTAACTTTAGTGGCAGTATTTTCAATAATGTATAAATATTGCTCCTTTTTGAACCAAGCTATGAAGTGAAACTTGGAGCATTCTTTTTTTTTCTGTGGAGAGCTGGCTGGTAATTTAGTAAGAGGTTATGGTTTCACAGAGAGCCCTGAGGCAGTTTAGCAGCTCACCATGCTGAAAGGCAGATTTCTCGCTGTCCATTCCCATCTGTGCTTCTGTCTGCTTCTGCCCTCTCACTCCTGTTATCTCCCTTGAGCCTATGCAAACCTTTACTTCCCTAAATAACAACAGCAATTATTAGTGTGCATATATCACATTTTCTCCTTAAACCGTGGTGTGCACTGAAAATGGGGTATGCTGGTGGTGTTGGTTAGTGCAGGGTCTGCAGCACACTGTACTGACATGTGAAGTAGCTGCAAGCTACCGTGCATAGCAATTTACTCAGGGTAAATAGCCCTAACTTTGTGAGCTCTTTGTTGATAACTACATCTCTACCAGTGCTAACACCATCCTGTTTCCATTTGGCTCAGACATCTCTAGCAGTATAGCAATCTCTGTACAAACTGCAGCATGAGTAGTTCCTTGGTTGTGACACTTGGATGCCAGGGCTCCTCTTCCACCAGGGCTGATTAACCAGGTCCTTCCTCTTAGGAAACTATTCAAGGGCCTTTGGGAATCCTGTTGAAAGTATTGGTATTTCCTAGCAGTAACCAGGAGGGCAAAGAAGTGTACATTTGATAACCTTCTTTCATACGAAGCTAAAAAAAGTCTATATTTTAGAATAGGCATTGCACTTTATGTTACAAACTTTGTTCAGCAAACACTGAAAAAACAGCAGTTGTGATGGCAAAAGAGTGACAGCATTAGTTTCCATCCTGTTGTGAATGTGAACAGTCTCAGTTGCTGTCTTTAGGTCTAACAGAAAGATCTCTTTCCAGGGAAGATTTTTCAGAAAGATGAGTTTTCCCTGATTATTGCTGTAGGTACATTCTAGTAAAAAGTACCGCGTGTTCAGAGAATGGTGAGACAGCTGGACACCTTGCTTATGTTTTGCTGTTCAGTGGCTAAAACCCCTGTCTTCTCATCGAAGTAAACATATGTCATATGAAAAACTAATTTAATACAGAATGTATTAGTTGTGTTATTGATACAAGCACAGTCCTCCTTCTAAGTCTTTTTTTTTTTTTTTTTTTTTTTTCATTGTATAATATTACAATCTGGGTAAAACAATATAAAATAAGGGTATGTGAAAACTATGATGAAAAATTAAGATACTATGATACCTGGTGTTTCATCTGATTACCAGCTGAAATTTTATGAATAAATCCAATTAGTATCTGTAATCTGTTAGATCATTGATTCTTTTGCTTTGATCTCCCTCTAGTGTTCAGTGAAGCAGGGTTAGCCAGGTATTGATGACCAATTACAGCAGACACTATATAACATTATGTAACCTAACCTCAAGTTCATGAAGTGGCATCAGAGCTAGATAAATTTTTGTTGTATAAGGGTGTTTACTGTCATATATCTTTTGGCATCAGAGATTTACTGCATCAGAATAATGAATATATGTCCCATATAATTTCAATGTTTACTACTTTCTTAGAAATAACTTTGCATTGATAGAGACAGTACTTTTTGAAGAAAACAACAGAGGGACAAAAAAGGGAAGAGTATATGTCTACAAGCTAAATACAGGAAAAATATTGTTGTATCTAAAGCCATACGTATACCAACTGGGTTAATTACTAGCAAAATATTTCTTACATGATTATAACTGGGTCTTCACTATAAGCAGCATTTCTAGAATGAAATTAGGCTGCAAATCACACTTGATGAAATTTTAAATGTCAGGTATGTGTATGTATGTTGAAGAGAATTCTACATAGTAATTTTTTTTTCTGACTTTGGAAACTATATAAAAAGAATTTTCTGACCAGATCAGAAACTGGACAGATTGGAAGTCTTGCAAAGAATACAGATAAAGAAAATATGAAAGATGGGTTTATTTCTTATGGACACTTCTTTTTCTTTTGCCCTTAACATCAGCATTCAAATAACAGAATTAAGTGTCTGTTTTATGAATAAGGAAAAATGTCACCTCCAGGAAAGTATTTCTCATTCGTATTTAAAGTTACGTATAATCAATATTCCATGATTTTGTTGCTAACAACATAAAATGCAATAAAGCATCTAAGCTGTGCAGAAACTGACTGGTCAAGACTACTCTCTATACTATGCTATTGTAGCTTAATTCAAAACATGCACATCCATGGGAATTTCAGCAAAGATAGTGAAATCAAAAAAAGAAAAAATAATTAAGAAAAGATGGACCGAGTTCTCAATATACTTTAAAAAAATCTTTGCAATATCAGAGAGGAAAAGGAATTATTTAGGATGTTTATGAATGAAATTACAAGAACCATTAAAATGACAGTGAGAAAAAGAAATTAAAGCTGAAACATCAGGAAATGTTTTCTAATTGATTAACTCCTTCCAGCAGTATCATTTTTCACTTACGATTGCTGAGACTGTAAGCTATGTTATTATCTCAGGTACCTGGAACTAAAAAAATGTATGAAGTTATACAAAAATGTTTGTCTCATCATGAGGCATAAACACAGAATGTCCACAAAGTTATTAGTGAAATAACACTCTTCATTTCAAGTGCATTGACAATTTATTGAAAATGAGCAATCTATATAGAGGAAGATAAGAACTTGTAGAAAATCAAGGGCTGTAAATGAACCGATACACTAATGACTGGTGTTTTGTTTCCTTATCAAGTACTTGCACTTTGGAGGGGCCATCCCACCAGTGCAGACAGCATGCTGTGCCCTGGGAAGGGGGAAATTTTACAAGTTGTTTAATACACAGCTATCAGGGAAGGGAATGAAATTCAGTGAAGGTTTCCCCTGTCTTTGCAGGTGGACAGTATATGTGATTGTAAGAGTTGTTTGGAAACACATGGAGTCTCACTCTTCATAAAGCTATTGTTGCTTTGTAAAGTTGTGATATATTAAGAAATATAATGATTAGTCTACTGTAGTTTGTAACAACATAATCTATCTAAGGGAAAAAAAAAAACTTGCTCCACCTGATGCAGGTAAGTGCTTTGGAAATTATGTGCTTACACCCTTTGGTCACATCCTTCATTCTAGTAGATCAGTCTCAGTCCATTGTAGTGACTTCATGACAAGCTACAATAATCAATGTCTACTAAATATGTTTCTTTATTAAGATTGTACTAGGTTGATTCGTGTTTTTTTGAAAAATTAGTTACTGTTCTCCAGACTTCATAGTCTGCTTTTATAGCACTATTCTTCCCTATTTGCTTACAGAATAAATTAATTTTAAGCCTATGTATAGCTGTAACTTTCTACAAGGAATGAAAAATAATAGTGAATTTGAATACAGGACAAATAGTTCTCTGGGATTATTGTAAAAATCAATCAAGAGGCCTTCAAGTGACATTTCTGAGGCCACTGCTCTGTTCATATTCTTTCCAGTAAATCATTACGTTTGCCAGTAAAAGTGCCATCACATAAATATTATTATCAACAAGCATCAAGGAAATCTCCTGTCTAGAAAAGCATTAACCATTTCTTGAAAAAGAAGTTCTGTGTTTATGCTCTAAAGAAAGCAGCACTCCCGGGTGTTTTTTTAGGAGCCACCCATCTTCTTCTCTGGCTGTGAGTTCTCCAGTAGTTACAAATAAAAAAACTGTGAAAGTAGATGGAACCATTAGAATAATATTTTATACTTTTAAATGACAGAAAACGAGGGTATGGATTTATAGCACATCCCCTGCTGTTTAACTATACTATCTTGTAAACTCAGGTATGTTGTGCTGAAAAAAAATGCATATAGGATACAGGAATTTCTGTCCTGAGAGCTACTTAAAAATATTATCATGCTTTTTACCTTGCCACTGACCTAATGTATTTACACCTCTTCATGCTAAAAGGTAAAAACAGTGAAAGGACAATGATTAAAAAATGAATTCAAGAGATAGTTATGTTCTCTGGGAAACCTATAGGATGGGGGCAGAGCGAAGAAAATGCCTCTTTGAGATTTGTCTTTTCAGAGCTGTCTTCATGCCTATCTGTCTAGTAGGGAGAAATAATGAATAGGAAAAAAAATGTGGCAAGAATTAAACCTAAATTCTTCAAGCCCATAAAAATCTACATTTGGAGTAGAAGCCGCATATAGCTTTAGTCTTGTTGCATGTCAGCATCCAGTGCTGGCATGGCTTCTGCTATAGGTACAAGTAGACAAAATCTCATTGAAAAACATTTGCTGTCATCCAAAACCACCTCTGGAGAGGTGTGGGAGGTATATAAGTTGGTTTTATACCCCAAATTAGGTCATTCTAGCTTGTATTTTCCATGCACTAGGATGTGGAGGCCCATGGCAGTGGTGCTGTGGTAGAACAGATATTTCAATTTCTGCACAGGTATCACAGAACTACATGCATGTGTGTGTGCTTGTGTGCGTGGTGTTGCTTGGCTTCTGCTTCTGGTCTAAAAAAAGTAACAAGGAGAGTCAGAGGATAAATGTTAGTTCAGGTATCTACAATGACATGTGTTAAATATAGGCATTTACTCTGCCCCGATTTTCCTTGTGGTCATCTCCTTCAAGGATAGAGACCTCTGTTGTCCTCTGCCTTCCTTTGCTGTGTGCTGCAGACTGACACAGGATTAAATACCTGAGAGTACTGGCAGTTAGAGTGCACCAAACTACACAGTCTTCTGTCAGTTATACTCCTGGAAATCTGTAACAATATCAGGTAGATAGATGGAATTGTTCAATATTTACACTAGAGTAAGTGAGAACAGAATTCGGTCTCCCTGCAGCAGAGTGAATGCTACAAAGCTGTACCTGCCAGGCATAGTCCTCCTTGCATAATTCCCAGTCCAGATCCAGAGGAAGACTCATTGATACCAGTTAGAAAGGCTCTGAGAGATGTGTGACCTCTGGCTGATGCAACAAAAAAATTGAGATGAAGCAGGGAAAGCAGTATCCAGAAGATAAGAAACATTTCAGCAGAAGCTTTCCTACTATACAGCTTAACTTCTTCACTTGGTAAAGAGGAAAACTGTACTCAAACTTCATAAAAAAGGCATAAAGCCCTTGCAAAAATTTTGCTTTAGAGGAGAATGATTGTAAGATGAAAGATTTTAGGGAACATTAGGAATATGGCACTTCATTCCACAAATAACATTGCATCTTTTACTAATTTCTCCAAGCAGGCTTTCTGAGTTTTAGACAGATCTAGTAAACCTTCACTTACCTGCTAGTGAAACAACTTGTGAGTCAGTGTGCTGATAACTCTGGGAGCAAGATTACTTATAAAGGAAATGAAGCCAACATAGTCTTTGCGTAAAGGAAATATTGGAACATCTAAATCAAAGAGAAAGACAGTTGCCTCATTGACATAACCTTGAATTAGGGTCGCTTTAAAATAAATCATCCACTGTGTCTCAAAACATTTATAAGGAAAAAAAAAAAAAAGAAAAGAAAAGATGACCAGTCAAAGGGAAAACATTCTATATTTCAGTAGGATTACCCTTTCAGCTACTCCTGTTATAGCTTCCCCTCCTAATATTTGGCAGACTGTAAATCAACGAGTCTATTCACAAAAAGACCATGGTCCATATTATAAATACTGTTTAAACACTCAGGTAGATGGTTGAAATGTCATAGGCTGTTCACTGCCCATCAAGATTATTGTCACTGTGTTTGTTTTTCAATCTAAGATCTCTACTAAAGACACAACTGGTAGCTGAACTGAAAAATTAATGAGGTAGACAGAACTTGGCAGCACCAAAGTCCAACTGTACTAGTCTGGATAAATTTAAATGATCATTAGGGAGAACTGGAATTCATATCATGTAGGTAAAAAATGTACGGAGCTTTAGCAATATTTAATGATAGGTGTTAGTCCCTATTACTGAAACAAATAGGGAGAATAACATAAGTCAGTCACCTTAGGCAAAGACTTCACATTTGGATCTATTAAATAGCAGTTAAATAGCAATGCCCAAAAGCAGAATCATATTCTTAACAGTATAAACTGAGAAAATCTGTTTGTTTACAGGGAACCAAACAAAAGCTCAAGACTGCTACAGAAAAGGTGAATTTGGAATCAGGAACTGAGGATTTAATTAATCTGTGTGCAGAAGGACTGGTGAAAACACAA